TCTGGTAAAACACACAGCTACGGAAAGCCTCGCAGCTAAACAAAGTTCTATAAAATTTTATTTGACAGAATTTTTGTTTATACAGTTACAGCTGAATATCAGTGAAAATTCTTAAATTATTCCTATAATTTCTTATATACACTTCTAATATCGGTTCAGACCATTTTGAAGGTTTCCGGATCAAGATTGAATTGTCCAGTATCTTCTGTAAGCTTTTGATTGTGTGATTCCATTAGTCGTTATAAAATAATATCTTTTGTGCATCCAGTAATTTATGTTCACAGGCAGACATTTTTTTTCTTTAGTGGAGTTCTAATATCACATCCACAAAGCGCCATGTTGATTTTATTCAATCCTCCTCGAAAAAAACTTTAAAAATATGACGAAAAAAAATTAAATTATCAATATAATAAGCATATTAACATTTTGGTCAGCGATTCATACAAACAAAGAAGTTTCTCAGAGGAGTATCTAGTTTCTATGTATTAAAAAACCGATGGGACTTTTATGAAAAGTTCTCACTTCCACAAATTGGATTTTAATCGAATTCACTCCAAGCAAGGTAGCAAAGTCACTAAGACAAAAGAAGTTACTAAGTGTGAAAGAATTAAAAAACAGAAGCATTATTGAGGAGCGAGAGCAATAGAAGGGTAATCAGGAAGAAAGTTAATAACGATTGACATTGCATTTAAATTTTGGAAGATCAGAGTTAACTGGAAAGTGTGGATCCGGAAGTGAGTTTTATAAGTGAGAAGTGCGAGAACAGTAACTTAACATATAACTTACGGTTACACATACATTGAACTGTAAATCGATGATACCTCTCATTATACTCACCGAATTTCCCTCGGCCACATTTCACATTGTTCATCACAAACAGTGGTTAGTCAACTCTAACAAAACCGATGAGAAAAGCAGATATTTCAGAGACTTCTCCATCGCATATGAACTAGCCCAGATCATTGAAGAACCCACCCGAGTGCGGCATGAGACGAGACAGCAACGGAAACTGCTCGATCTTTTTCTAACATCCAGTCTAAACAAATGGTTAACAAAAGTTTTAGCTTCAATTGACACGTCAGACCATTCCAGAGTCAGAGTCCAGATCAACTCCAAGACAATGACATCGTCTGATTTATCGTTACACAGATTGGGACAACTTTCGATCCTACATGGCAGAAGTTACTCTCCGCAATTTTATTCAAACAAGCTCTCTCTCTGTTGTCCTAATCTCCGAATGGATCCTTTCTGGAATGGAGTGTTTTATGTCCCAAACAAAATTCTAGCAGTAAACGAACCTGGTTCGTTCCTGAATGCGTTGCAGCCATAGCTCATCGCAACAATTACTTCAAAGTCTACTGCAAGGAGCAATGTTGTCTGGCCCATACTTCTTTCAGAACCGCTCGAAATAGCTGTAAGAGAATCTAGGAAATGCAAAGTAGTGTTATGCGGAAACCTTTCCAGGGCAAGTTTTAAAATAAACAAATTGGATCTCGCAAATTCTGGAAGATACCCAACTAAATTATAAACAGAGGCAAAGCGGCTGTTCCCAGTATTATAAATGGTCTCAAAGTCATATCATCCTCGACACACAAGGCGAAGTTCTTCGTCTTGATCTTTGCCTCAAAATCAACGTTAAATGACAAACATCCCACAGCTCACTGAGCACAATTTCAGTAATATACTCATTTCAGCAAAAGATGTCTCTAGACTTATCAAAATTCTCGACTCTAGAAAAAACACTGTCTTAGACAAAATTCTAGTAGTCGTCTTAATGTATATCAACCCAGAGTTATTTAATACCTGCTTGAAAGAGAAATCCTTCCGAAGAATGTGGAAGGGGGCAAGCGTATGCTGGGTCTTCAGAAACGATTCTCTCCCTCCCAGTATAGACCCATTGGTTTCGTCAGTACCATTAGTAAGGTTTTTTTTCAGACCCTAATCTAAAAGAAGGTTATTGAGCCATTGGATAGGAACAACCTCTTGTGCGATGAACCGTAGGGGTTTCAATCAGCCCGATCCACTGTTGACGTCCTAACTACTATTACATATAGAATTTGAGGCCCTTGATAACACACATACCACAAGAAACATAGCATTTCATATCTCGTGGCCCTTCGACAAAGAGTGCCACATAGGTTTGCTACATAAGCTCTCCAACTATGTAATCACTGGAAGGGTTTTCTCTATTATAAAATTCTTAACATTTAGATCCCTGAAGGTAGTTATTACCGGACAGTTTTCCGAGGCACTGGAAGTCAACGCAAGCGTCCCTCCCTCAGGGGTCACTTCTCAGATCAACCCACTTTCTGATTTACATAAATGATCAACGTAAGAATATAATCCGATCATTTGTAAACATCTATGCCGATGATACAAGAATATGCCGGATCACTTGACGATCAGAGATTGGCAGCTGACCTCTCTACCGATCTAACAGTAAATTCCCAGTGGGGAATAACTGGCTGGTTATATTCTATGCTTCTAAAACCAAACTGATGACATTCTATCACCGTCGATCAGACCTCAGTCACAATAAACGTATGTTCCCTCGAGGAAGCCTCGTGTCTCGAGAGGATACTGGGCCTCAAACTCACACCCAAACTCGAATTCTTATATACGATTCATCGCTAAATGATCGGCTCTCTGTAGCTTTCCAGTATTTACCTGACTCCTCATGCTATCCTCTACCTTTATAAGAGACAGATCAGGCAGAAAATGAAGCACTCTTACCATATTTGGGTGGGAGCTGCCTAGACTTCACTTTCCATTCGCGATAGAGTTCAAAAGCTTGTCCATGTCATTGTGGTGACATTTCTTTATTCCACATTCCAACCACTCCCTCACAGGCGAAATGCGTCGAGCTTCTCACCGATCTGTCGCTGCTACAATTGAAAGTGCTTGGACGAAATGCATATCCTGGTTCCGCCATGTCTGATTTTCACGGCTAGGACCAGCCACTTACATAGTAGCAAACTATCTACATTCCATCCGTTTTCCATCGGCGAAATGTAAGTTCCACACAGACAGCTTCTTCCGGCGAACGACTACCCTATGGGACAGACACTGAAGAGAGTGTTTTCCCGATCATGCCGCTAAAAAAACAACTAATAATAACGTAATAGAGGAATTTATTCAGATACTCTATAGCTGTGGAACTCCCTAGCAGTCTATTTAGTCATTATTTAGTTGATGAATCATTAGAAAGATCAAAAAAGAAACCAGCATATTTTCTCTGCTAGTGAAATAATGAAAATAGGTGATACTTTAAGAACATAATGGCATCATTTGTCTCAATAGATATCGACGCGTTTAAAACGAAAAGCAAAACGAAAGAGTTGGAAGACCTGTGGTTTTTAAGAAGTCGACGAACCAGCGAGCCAGTCACATTACTAAGAAACTCACGCGTATAACATGAAGAGAGTGGAAATATTTTAAACTTCAGGACGTTGGCGATCATGATTCTTCAGAACTTCCTATCCCTTTTAGCTCTTAACATCGTTTCCCCCCTTGGCCATTTTACCCACTATCCATTCCGCCATCTATTCACAAAATCACATCAAATAGTTTACCTGTTTTCCAGTCTATTTTCACTTAGATATCTCTTGTGGGTCTCATATTCTTCAAGCCTTCTTTCCTGTGTAAAGGTCCAAGTATTTTCAGCTGTCTCTTTCTAATTCTGATTTTGTTTTTAACTACATGAAACTTCTTCGCTGGCGCGGTCCGTCAATGTTACTCTCAGCATCCATCCGTAGAACCATATTTCTGTTGCCTCCAGATTTTTCTTCTTCTCTGAGGAGTTTTTTTTTTTTTCTGGGATTCCCTTCGATATAATTAGTCATTTATGTGCCATGCGTGATACATGACTGACGAGGTAGATTTTCTTTTCTTTCTGCGGTAAATCAGTTACCATCCAAAGTTATAGAACTCGGTTTGTCCTGCTATTTACCCATACCTGATGTGGGGTGGGGAGGAGAAGAATGGGATTCATACCTTTCGCAAGGATATTGGTACGTAAGTTAATCTAATGGATTCGACTGGAATTCGAACTCGGCTTTCCGATTCCGCAATCCGAGTCGCTATCCATTACTTCACCGTGCGCAATAGGAGTACTGATTTTATATAGAAGTCTAGCACACTGTGCTTTATTTCCTGTTTGTTAATACTTTGCTTAGCTTTTGGAATGCTATTCCAGTGCCCGTTCGGATTTCGATGCCTCATTTCTGTTAAATCACGAACCAGATATCTAAAACTCTGTAGTTGTTTCATGTTGACATCTCCAGTTCTCTATTTGCATCTTAAGATTTTTCCTCTTTTTGACAATGGCTTCATATTCTGTCTTCTTACAGTCAATCGTAGCACGTTCTTATCAATTTCCCCTGCTATCCTCTCTGTGTAAATTTACATCTGTTTGGCATCAACACAATGTCACTTGCGTCAATCTTATTGTTAAGATTGTGCCGATCGATAATAAAACATGGTAGGGTCTCAGGAGGAACCCCGAGTAAATGAAAAGACAAAGGGTAATAAGGAATTTTCGCAATAAGCACCTCAACTATCCTTGAGTCTTTCCTGGAGGATGTCTTAATTTGGTTATCTGGTATGGTAATTGGAATCAGCCACCGAAAATCAAATTCCGGCCCATTGGCTATTTCCATCTCCTTATTAATTCTCTTTAGAAAACGCACGTTTCCCTTTTACTCCCACAGCAGCTATGTTTTGTTTTGTTTTGTTTTTTTAAATCCTTATATACTAGCCAATGTATGGGACACCTCGAGGCGGTGTAATGGTTAGCAAGATTGTCTCGCAAGAACAATTAAGACTGAGTAGTGAGTTCGATCCTCACTGGGTGCCCCCTACTTTCGGCCTTGTGCCGCATCTAAGATGCGCTTGGAAAATCGCTATAAAAAAAGAGTACTCTGAATTTAAAAAACAAAAGTCAGCAACGGGAAAATATTCTACTGTATTTCCCATGAATTAAGAACAATTCAGCCGCATAACGCTAAAATACCGGTTGCCGTAGATTCAGCGAAGTTAAGCTCCATTGAGCCTGGTCAGTACCTGGATGGGTGATCACTTGGGAATACCAGGTGATGTAAGCTTCAATATGCGAGGGATATAATGGATATTGACGCGAAACTGTTAATCAAAGATCCTAGTCCACACTCCTGTTCGACTCGTTATATTCACTTACGCTCAAATACCATTAGGAAAGGTAGGAATCCATCTATTCCCCCCCAGTTATAGGTTAATTAGTAAGATTTATATCACTAGACAAAAAAAAAAATCTTACTGTCTTAAAAATATTTTCTAGCTTCTCATAACCTGCAAAAGGTTGATAAGACGTAAAAAATAACCAATTAGTAAATCAATAATAACAATTCATATAAAATAAAGACAGATATAATGATGTATATCTTGAAGGGATATGGAGTAAAAAGGCTCCTAAGGTGTGGTTGTCACAAGACGAAATAGACCAAAAGGCGAATTACAAATTGTAGACACCAAATCAAGCAAGTATACAAATTTTAATATTTTGGAAGTGTTTAAGCAGGCGAAACCGAAATCCGAAGGCGTATTGGGATAGGGAAAGATGCCTTCCAAAAGGTAAGCAAAGTATTAAAAAAACATTTCGTTAGAAACAAAGAAAAGACTAATGTAATATCATTGCTCCTATATGGCAATGAATTCTGCACAGTCTTTTTACAGATAAAGAAGACACACGTGATAATGGAAATGTGTTTCTAGAGAAGAATACAATGAGTTGACCATGTGAGTAACGGCGAGGTTTTATCTGAGTGTAGCTGAGGATACGATGGGCTGAACATGTGAGTAACGGCAAAGATTTAGCTGAGTCTAGCTGAGAATACGATGGGCTGAACATTTAAATAACGGCGAAGATTTAGCTGAGTGCAGCTGAGAATATGATGGAATGAACATTCGAGTAAACTGCGAAGTTTTAGCTGAGTGCAGCTGAGAATACGATGGACTGAACATGTGATTAACGGCAAAGTTTAAGGAAAAAAAACACCCGGCAAAAAAATCTTATACTTACAATAAGGTAGAGAGAATTTTAGGGTAGATACTGAGGATAAGAACTTTGATAATTTGACACTCTCGAGACATACTGAAGGCAAGAGGAACAGAAGAAAACATTCAAATAACTTATATAACGAATTTCTGTAAATGGTTGGTAAAACCAAGTTTAGGAGAGATAGCAAAAAGCAACATTTTACTAAGAGCTACAAAGGTCAATAAATTGTGAGTCGTGATAATTCACGTCTTGAAGGAACAAGTCGCATAGAGAAAAAAAAAAGTAGTTGAAAAATTGTGATGCAGAAGGTAGTAAAAACCTGAATGTCGTCTCAATAGAAGCCCGGAGAAATATTTCGAATATGTAATATACGTAAATTATTTATATCAAATATATCTTAATTACATAAAATTCGTCATATATTAATTAAGTTGAAAAGACGAAATAATTAACCGTTTCTACGCATGACGCTCATCGATAAGATTGGTATGCACTTAGATATACCGGCTTTCTGTTACCAACAATTTTATTCTCGACATCACAAATTAGCACGTTTAATTATGTGCGAACGCTTATCATTAATCTTAATAATATTTAGTACTATTTTCATTCGATAGGATTTTGAAGTGTAATTACCATTTTGTCGGCATTTTCAGACATTCATGTCGAAAAGTAATATATCATTCTTATCTGTTCCAACATTGCATAACGTGAAAAGATCTTTTTGATGCATCTTTGATGGAACTTTTTTAAGAAAAATCATTGATTCACTTAAATTTAGAATATCATTATCTAAACAGTGAATAGACTTTTTTCACTAGCTGTTACATCAACATTCAAGTCGACGTTGCATTTTTTCTTCATCTTCTCCTGCAATCCACGACAAGAGATCCCAATCTGCCGTGTTTCTTAACCTCTTGCTAGAGGAAAGTGCATTCACGCTATTTAAAAGGGAATTCTCGCCAATTAAAGGGATTCATAACTCGTTTAGAATTTAATCGTTTTCTGTTTGTTTTTATTAGAATTTACCACGATTAAGGGAATATAGCTACTAAGACTCATTGAGTTAGTAGGATCGAAAGAATTAAAAAACAGAAACATTCTTAAGGAGAGAGAAAGATAAAAGAGTAATCATGAAGACATTTGATATAGCACTGATATTGCATTCTTAAATACACGTGAATATTCTATGACAAAACAGCTATTATACAAAATTTCATAAACTGCTAATTCTTCCACGAAAAAAAATGTATCATTAAATTAGAAAACATTAAACAAAATCCTATTAATAAAGACTTTCATAATTACATTGTTGATGAACAAAATAGTCGAGCTGTTATAAATATTCAGATCAATAAAAAACATAATACTTCCTCAAATAAATCTAAACATATCAACCTACTTTACTGCAATCAAATACACTGCAAGTATAAACAAGATGAAAAAATCATAAAATAACTCATAAGTACTAATATGTGTCCCATTGATCTAAGTAAAAACTAAAGCACAGGCATAACTTTACATCTCCCTGTGTAGGTGCGTTTCTGTGTGTATATAAGTGGACGTGTGTATACCTATAGAGGTACATGAATGTGCATGTGTATGCACAAGAGTATAAATACAGACATATGCACATAAATTTAAACAATAATAAAAAAATTATTGTAAACCTAACCTCCTACAATTAATACTTAAGATACCCTAAAACTAAATAATAAAACAAAATAATATCATAGTGAAAATATATAAATATGAAAGTATATATATATTTATCATTCAAGCATTAATATCAATTATTTATGGAAAAAAACAAAACAAAATATTCACAGCCCAAAAGATTAGAACGCGCAAGAATAAAAAAAGATTAAAAACGGTGACATATCTAAAGATAATAATAATTAGCCAATTGAAAGAAAACAGAAAAAGAGAAAAGGTTAATGAGCGAACGTAAAGTAGAAAAAAATACGTAGAAAAGAACAAATGATCACGACACCAGACACGCACGGACAAATTCCGAGAATTATTTTTAAGACATTTTTATGTTTATACATTCTTTTTATAGATACAAATATTTAAGTAAATGATCTGTTTATAATAAACAGTATTGATAAAATTTACCGGCCTGAATGTCCGAGAAATTTTAATAGAAAATATTCGTCCATTTCATGTGTGGCGTTATTTGTTTACATTTGGATACGCATTGAGCAGATATGAATGTACGTGAGAGATTCATGAAAGATTGTATTTTAAAAGAAGTAAAATCGACATTGATAAACGAACGATCCTCTGTGGGTCAATCGGTTAAGTCACGCCAGGCTATATGACGGTTCCGTATAGGATATACGTATATTCCGAATATTTTCTATGAAAATTTCTCGGACATTCAGGCCGGTAAATGACATTAATATTGTTTATCATAAACAGAAAATTTACTTAAATATTTGAATCTATAAAAAGAATGTCTGAACATAAAAATGTCTTAAGATATATAAAATGTCTTAATATATATATATATATATATATATATATATATATATAAGGTGGGTCATCATATAAATATATATTTATATATTTGTGCTTATATTCATGTGTGATGATGTGCATTATCCGAGGGACATTCTTATTTAGTGTGTGCGCACACGCACAGAGGCACATACACAGAAATACACACGAAGACACACACACACACACACATATATATATATATATATATATATATATATATATATATATATATATATATATATCAATGCCTCACCTGAGGATAATATGCTGGGAATCCTGATGTATCAATTGTTTGGGAGTTGCAATATATATATATATATATATATATATATATATATATATATATATATATATATATATATATATATATGTGTGTGTGTGTGTGTGTGTGTGTGTGTGTGCATAATGAGAGAGAGCCTAAGATTAGAGCCAGACCTCCGAGTCTAGCTGTCGTGATACAGTCTTTGACTGTAAGCGACGTCTGTCGAACTCTCTGCAATAGCAGAGAGGAAACCGGACGAAGCTTTGCCGTAGGGCAAGGTTTCGTCCGGGGAGTTAGACAGGGCCTGAACAGAGTCTAGGCGGGTTCAAAGGCTATATTTTTGGCCGGGCCTACGGGCTCGGAGATACCCACATTAAACCGGCCTTGTGCCATATTCAATCCTCGTGGGTGGATCGATAAATAGCGAGCCTAAGATTGGTAATGATTAAAATTGTTTGAAGATCGCCATGATGCGTAAGTGTGACACTTTGGTCATTACCTAGCAGCTGTATATTTGACTTGACGAAGAGTTGCAATGGATAACGGCTCGGCATGCGAAATCAGACATCCGGTTTCGAATTCCTTGTTGGGTTCGTTACATTCAGTTGGCCGCAGTTACCGTCGGGTGGCCCTCAATCGATAAGCGTCACGATCGCCGAAGCCAGCATTACCAAGAGGCATGGTGAGGCCTGCTCGATAGGGTTAATTAGCCATTCCTCCGCCTGAAAGGAATCTAGGGAAACCGACGTCCAACAAACGAAGAGAGAAGAATGTTTATCCTCAATATTTTACTAATATCAATTTTGAATATAAATTTTATTACGCAAAACAATGATTTGCACAATTGAGCATCAACTTTCAGTCAAGTATCTCCGTCAAATTAGTGTTTTATTATCTCGCCCCCATCCATATCCACACGTACTTATGATAGCTGTCTACTTGATGTGTAAAGAAAGTCAACATTTAGGTTTATGCGTTTTTTCTATGATTATTTAATGCTTCGATTTTATTATTATTGGTTCCATGCCGTTGATTTCTCGAGCTAAGCAGAGGATCGTATATGGTTTTTTTTCAGGGTGGTTAACGATTTCCTAAATTTATGTTTTCACTTCCCAATATATGTGTTTTGGACGTGGTTGTTATTAACGGGAATTTTCTTAGTTCGCATAAAATCACCTAAAAAACTGCAATTCTCATGGCAAATTTAGCAAACGGCTCTCGTGTAAATACCGATATAAGAATTAAATATTTGTCGTCATCTATGCAATTGTGTATGGAATTTGTGGCCTGGTTTAGACA